TGGCACAATGCTGGTGTGCCGTGCTTATACCACTGCGTTTTGCTCAACGTTTCTATAACGGTGCTTCTTAAACTAAATTTTTTTAAAATGCAATTAAATTTTATTTTCAAAGATCAAATTGATCAAGTCCTTTCTTTTTTTTTTCTGCCAATATAGTAGTTATTGTTTACTATAATCCTCCTCACTCTGAATGGTTCGGCTCTAACACTACTGAACATGATGACACTAAAGCTTATAACTACATTTCTTTTAAATAACTTCCTGGATCCAGGTAGGTATAGGGCATAGTTGGATCCAAAATCCGGAACCGAATACATGAGTACCCGTATCATTTTTATAAGTTCTGGATCCGGATATATTTGGTTTGATATACAGTTCCGGGTTTTTTTTATATAAAATTACTTTTTATAATGTTGATGTTGGATACCATTATAGCTTACACATATTTTGAAACTTTAGCACTTTAAAACATAATTATATTTAATATTATGCTTCAAATTTATTATAATAGTGTATAATGTTATAATAGCATTTTAGGCAATGCTCCCAAACAGGAGCATTACTTAAAGTGCATTTACATTGCACTTTAAGCAATGCTTTGGTTTGGGAGCATTTCTTAAAGTGCAAAGTAAATGAAACTGCTCAATGCAAAACTTGTTTATTTTAAATCAAATTAATTTAATCAAATTGTCAAAGGTGGCTGCACAAGTGTTATGCGATACAAAAAAAAGATAAAAAATGAAAGATAAAAAATGAAACATAAAAAAGAAAAAGATACTATTGCCAATATACGAATAGATCTCATCGCAATTGATGGACTTTCATTAACACTGTTGCTACAAGTAAGAGAGTATGAGCACTTGCTTTAGCTAAAGGTCAAAAAAGATCTTGTAGTTCAGTTTCCATTTAAATTTTTTTACTGGATTATGCGAAAGATATTAAGGCTCACTTAAGAGCTTAATTAAAAGACATAAAAGCGAACAATTTCAGATTTAGCTTAACTGTTGATATATATACATCAATTAAAATGCGTTGTTATATAAATATTAATGTTAGACTTAAGGGGTAAACAGATTCTATCTGTTTCTAAATATTAGACTTAAGGGGTAAACTGATTCTATCTGTTGACCAGCCTCGCACCCCTTCTTTATCTATTAGGCTGGCGCAGATTTATTTTTAATACATTGTTTCTAGTTTAGGATGTTGAACGCTGGATCTTCTTGACTCGATGCATGGGTTTTGCTTGTGTCTCTGTTTTTATGACTAGGCAACTCATTCTATTATCTCCAAATGAGGGTACAGCTCTAAAACTCAGTTTTATAGTTCTGAGGCCAGCTGGTAGTCAGGTTTCCCAAACTCTCTGGTAGCTCACAGAGAGGCTGATTCCATTAACAGCTAAAAAATATCAGAGTGTATAACACCATCCATGCGCAACATGGCACTAACAGTGCCATGTTGTGCATGGATGGTGTCCCTGTTTGTACTTTCAGTGTGCATTGCCCAGGCCACATTGGAGCTCTTTGTTACGGCTTAGGGTTTATTAGTGGAAATGAGGCAATTGCTTGGGCTATAAATTTTATTTTTAATACATTGTTTCTAGTTTAGGATGTTGAACGCTGGATCTTCTTGACTCGATGCATGGGTTTTGCTTGTGTCTCTGTTTTTATGACTAGGCAACTCATTCTATTATCTCCAAATGAGGGTACAGCTCTAAAACTCAGTTTTATAGTTCTGAGGCCAGCTGGTAGTCAGGTTTCCCAAACTCTCTGGTAGCTCACAGAGAGGCTGATTCCATTAACAGCTAAAAAATATCAGAGTGTATAACACCATCCATGCGCAACATGGCACTAACAGTGCCATGTTGCGCATGGATGGTGTCCCTGTTTGTACTTTCAGTGTGCATTGCCCAGGCCACATTGGAGCTCTTTGTTACGGCTTAGGGTTTATTAGTGGAAATGAGGCAATTGCTTGGGCTATAAAACAGTGTACTGAGTACTATCTATGTTTCGAGTCAAGTTCTTTAACAAATTTAAAAATGAATAAAGTAGCAAAAAATATAAAACACAAAAAACCACAGTCATCACCAAGTTCGCTAAACCTATCATTTATCAATATTCGTGGTCTTCAAAGTAACTTTTTTTCTGTTGAGTCTTATCTCTTGCAAAGTTCACCAGACCTACTTGCTCTTTGTGAGACTAATTTGAGTTCAGCTGTCTCTTCTTATGATCTTAGTGTTGATAATTATCTTCCTTTAATTTGTAAAGACTCCAATAGTCACATGCTTGGCATTTACATTCGTAAGAATTCACCCATTTGTCGGGAAACTAAGTTTGAATCCACAGACTACTCTTTTATGTGCTTTCATTTAGCACCACTTCACTCTATCACCTTTCTCTTTGTTTTATATTGCTCTCCTTCATCTCAAGTCTGCACTCTTCTTGATGTTATTTCTGATTATATTGACCGAGCCCTCATTCTTTATCTATCAGCCAATATTGTTGTTGTCGGTGACTTTAATGTTTATCACACTGAATGGCTTGGGTCTAGTGTCAGTGAGTCTGCAGGCATTAAGGCCCACAACTTTTGCCTTTCTCAATCACTAACTCAAATAGTCAATTTTCCTACTCGCTTTCCAGACAACCCGAATCATTTACCTTCTCTACTCAACTTATGTCTTGTTTATGATCCTAGTCAGTGCTCAGTTTCTCCACACTCACCCTTTGGTGCTTCTGATCATGGTTTGGTCTCTCTAAAAGTATTATCTCATTCTTCTTTACCATCAGAATCCCCCTATCATCGTACATCTTACAACTACCTTAAAGCTGACTGGGACTCTTTCCATGGTTTTCTTCGTGATGACCCCTGGGTAGAAATCTTTCGTCTTCCTATTGACAAATGTGTTTCTTACATAACCTCGTGGATTCAGGCTGGCATGGAGTCCTTTATTTCCTCTCAACAATTGTAAACATAGTTGGACCTGCTCTTGCAGCCAACCTTCAACCTCTGTCACATCGTCGTAATGTTGCTTCTCTTTCTCTTTTCTACAAATACTATAATGAGCACTGCTCTAAAGAGCTAGCGTCTCTTGTGCCATCTACCAAAATTCATTCTCGTGTTACTCGTCATTCAATTAAGTCTCATCCTTTTTCTGTTACTGTTCCTAAGTGCTCCAAAAACTCTTACTTGTCTAGTTTTTTTTCCTCGAACATCAGTTCTTTGGAATTCGCTTCCTTCATCTTGCTTTCCTGATTCATATAGTTTGCAATCTTTTAAATCGTCTGTCAATTGTTATCTTGCTCTACAATCTTCATCTTTTCTCTTCCAGTAACTTCTAACACTAGTTAGTGGTTGCTTGCAGCCTTGTTGGAAGTGAAGATGTTTAAAAAAAAATAAAATGTGCACACAAATAAAAGCCTTTATATTCTTGATCTGTTTTGTCGGAAGTATGCCATCTAAAAAAACTGTTGAGATATTAAGTGAAAAGTTGAGTGAATTTAAACTGGAATCTAATCATGATATTGTTATTACAACTACAGATGGTGCATCAGTTATAGTTAAATTTGGCTATTAAATCAACCTTTACATTACATTTGCTATATAAGCTTTTCCTTATGTCAGATTTATATGATTGTTGTTTACTTATTGCAAAACAAAAAACCTTTTCTGCTGTAAGCAAATTTGAGTCTTGTTAGTAAAGTACCTCTGCTTCTAATTTTACAGGCTTTAACTAAATCTTTAAGAATTAGCTGCTCTGAATCTGATATTGTTATCTGAGACTGCATTTTGATTACTGTCAGTTTTATACATTTTTTTAACCAGACAAAGCCTTCAACTATATTAAATAATGAGTTCCAACATGTCTTGCTGCCTAAAATTGGTTTAAGTTCATGTCCAAATTCTGATTATACATGCTTCTGAAACATATCATTTTAACAAGTTATTTTTTTAACAATTGTATTATAGTGCAAACTTTTTTTAAAATCGAAAAATAATTTTTTATAATAACAGCCCCGACTGAACTATTTTCAAATTTAATGTAGCCCAGCTCTTCACCTTGATTAAGATAAAATTTCTTCTGTAAAATAGTTTTTTTTATTTGTTTTTAAGTTAAAATTGAATCCAAATTTGAATTCAAATTTAAATCTTAAAAATCCGGGTAGGATCCAGATTCGGATCCTAATTATTTTGCAAGATCCTATATGCCCTAGGCAGGTATGAATGTTTTTATTTTTTATTGGTGTCATTCAACTCAATGGTTTTATTTTTTTGTGCAGCTGCTATATCTAATTGTATTTATTTATTTATTTTTTTTCACAAAAACAACTCTCTTAAAAACAAATGTCTTTTAACTATTACCAGAAATTAATGTAAAAAGGTGCCATCTGTTGCTAAGCTCTGTTGCTAACTGTTGCTAAATTTTTTCCAGTTAACTATATTTCTTGTAACTTATCTCAGAAGTTAGACTCTTAGAAGAATAAAAAATTGTAAAAAATAAAATTGGTAAAATTGTTCTGCAAAACTTTAATTAAACGTTTTGAAAGATAAGTTTTAAAGTTTTTTCAAATGCAATTTTTCAATGCATTTCAAAACAAAAAGTAATTTTAACTACGAGCTTATTTAGTTTTATTTTAAAGCTAATTTATTTTCTTTTTTGTAAGGAATTGTTTTACTTATTCTTTAGTTTTTTAAATTTTTTTTCTAGTTTTGTTCAGCCTAAAGTTTCTTATTTCAGTGCATTTCTGAAACATTTAAATCATCAAAACATCTAAACAGTCGTGGTCAAGTTGTAAACAAAAAGAATTATTTGCGTTGTCAACAATAGCGTTCGATTGTACACCATTCCTGTCCAAACTTTATTTTATAAAATTTAATTCCCGTCGGTCAAAATGTCCTTTAAATTGAGTCATGTATATATATATATATATATATATATATATATATATATATATATATATATATATATATATATATATATATAAGTGTTTACATTTATGTTTTAGTATGACAGAAAATTGACAATTTTAAAAGCCGATGTTCAAAACTCTTTTAATTCAAATGATTGCTTGCAAAGTTTTTCTAAAATGCAATTTTTTTTTATTGCATCAATCCGCATAGAAATATTTGCTCTTCACCTGGTTGGACTTTATGAATTAATTTTACCAAATAAACCATCGCTTATATTTAAAAGTGAATATGATATGGTATTTGACAAGATAAAAAAAAAGAATAGTGACCGCCAAACAATTTTAAATTACTTGCTTAAACAAGAGAAACCCCAAGTTGTTGATAAATGGTAAGTTTTTTAATTTGAATTTTGTTAAAAAAATAAGGATATATAATTGAGAATTTAAACAGCCTTGTTGTTTCAAATGGTTTCATAAAGTTGGCTGTTGTTATTGTATTGTATTAATTTTTGTTTTTTTTTTTGTTTTTTCGAATTCATTTCCAAGGCCATAAAGGCCACTACAGTCGAGAAGGCTACTAAAGTTGTTATTACAACCCTCTCTCAACTCTATAACTCCTAAAAACAAACCTTGATGAAAAAGGCCACTGTTTGAGAAACTATAGGAAAGGTCAGTGCATCTTTTTCCAACGCACTACATTGGTAAGATTAGAGTTTCTTTACAATATTCTTTACAATATTTATTTTTTCCATCATTAGTCAACTTTTTTTAAAAACAATGAAAAAACTGCTATCATCTCGGTTAAATACCAAAAGTGATTTTTAAATATTCTTGAGGTCTTTTCTGATATTTCTTTGTTGACAACTTTAAAGCTCTGCAACTCATTGAAAACCTTCAAGTCATTGAAACAACTAGGCATGCTAATCAGTGCTTCACATAAACAAGAACATTGAAATTGCATATATCTCTCAGCTTCACAGTGATTATAGCTCATGAAATCTCTAAAGTGGCAGGTTTTAGCAGCATATATAACAGAAGATATGCATCTTGCATGATGAAAAGCTTCAGACTTGCGCCAATATACACCCCTATTTAGTTGCCCAAAATAAACATAAATATATATATATATATATATATATATATATATATATATATATATATATATATATATATATATATATATATATATATATATATATATATATATATATATATATATATATATTAGTAAGAAAACATCAATTAATACAAATTCTCTTACTACAATTAATAATTTATTATTATAAATTTTTGTTGGTTTATGGTTACGAGCACCATCAGCTCGTAAACAGTTTAAAATTACCTGACGTCAGCAGTTGAATGGCTTCTTTTTTGTTTATGTAAAAATATAAAAAACAGAGATTTAATTTTCAAAAACTGTTCGTTTAAGTTACTTCCGCCATTTAATGGCAAACTTTAAAACCTCTATTTCAAGAGCTTTGCGCATTTTTCGATCAAGTTTTTTTTGTTTCAACTTAATTGAAACAAAAAAAGTTATTAATGGTGGCTAATACAGACTGACAATGTTTCCCCTCGTTTAAACTTTTTAGATGTTGTGTTCCAGTCCTAATTTTAAGTTTAGTTTTGGCTACATATCTCTTTGAGTATTTGCATTAAATTAAATAAGTTTGGTGTTGACTATTATATGGCAATTTAGTTTTGTTTTTTGACATTAGTAATCTTAAATTTGGATTCGATTTGAAGACTACTCTATAACCGGCTTTCTCAAATATTTTCTTTTGTTTTGGGAACAGTAATGTATCACAGGGTGTTGTTTGTTTTAGATAATTGTTCTGCTTCTTGAGTGTGGTATTAGAATTTTTTTCTGGTAGCCATAAACTAGCGAAAATTTCTAATAATAAATTATCAATTGTATTAAGAGAATTTGTATTAATTGATGCTTTCTTACTAATATAACATATAGTCTTATACACGATCTCAACACTAAAGATATATGTAATATATATATATATATATATATATATATATATATATATATATATATATATATATATATATATATATATATATATATATATATATATATATATATATATATATATATATATATATATATATATATATATATATATATATATATATATATGTATATATATATATGTTATTTAAATGAAGAAAAACAACATTATAATAGTACTTAAAGTTTCGTGCCTTTTGGCAATCATCAGCTATTAATTACAAATTAAAAATTAAAAACGTAAATTAACGTTTAAAAACGAATCAAAATTTTACGGTAAAACGAGTTCTGCCGTAATTTGAAAAGGCGCAATCATTTAATCTCCAGTATCAAACGAAGATAACAGGAATTTATTTAAATGTCGACATTTAGATAATATTTCGTCTTTTTTATTAAGCAGGTTGTTTCCATTAAAAGATAAAATTTCTAATTTCTCATGAAGACAAAGTTTGCAGGTTTTTGTTTCTGGTTTGTAAGCTTCACAGCGTTTTATAATTTTTTATATTAGGTGTTGTACCTTTTTCTTTTAAACTCCAAATTTCTTTTGAAAGTTCAGTATCATTTTTATATTTGATCGCATTAAAAGACTTTAAATGATTTGCGTATCTAAGCTTGAATGGTGTCTCACTGATACCAGCTGAAAAAGCTGGTTATAACTGTAAGCTTACATACCAACCCCAGGTTGGTATGTAAGCTTACAGTTAACCCCAGGTTGGTATGTAAGCTGAAATTTTATCTTTTAATGGAAACAACCTGCTTAATAAAAAAGACGAAATATTATCTAAATGTCGACATTTAAATAAATTCCTGTTATCTTCGTTTGATACTGGAGATTAAATGATTGCGCTTTTTCAAATTACGTCAGAACTCGTTCTACCGTAAAATTTTGATTCGTTTTTAAACGTTAATTTACGTTTTTAATTTTCAATTTGTAATTAATAGCTGATGATTGCCAAAAGGCACGAAACTTTAAGTACTATTATAATGTTGTTTTTCTTCATTTAAATAACATATATATATATATATTGCTCTATTATCATAATATCGAGCACTGTTTTTCGTACAAGAGTTTTGTATTATTTTATATAATACTTAATCAATATATATATATATATATATATATATATATATATATATATATATATATATATATATATATATATATATATATATATATATATATATATATATATATATATATATACTAAATCTTATTTAGTTAAGCATAAAAAAAATAAATTAGAAAAATATAAAAAAGAGATGATAAAATAAAATATAAAAAGAAACAGCCTGCTCTATTTTACTCTATAAAGCTTTAAATGACTTTTTTTTTTTATGAATGTATGAAAAAGATTTTTCTTATTCTCGAATGAGAAACAATGTTATCTACTATTTATGCATTAAAAGTATTTTGGTCATATTTTATACAAGCTAAAAAATCAAGGAATGGCAAGCAAGTGGAGACACTAAGAAAGCTCTTGTTAACAAATAAAATATAAAAACACAAAAGTAGTCAAACAAAAAAAACAAATTTCAAATTTGTATCAACCAGTTTTGCTTTGTCTTGGAAATCTGCTTTATCTATTTATCTAATAAATAGCTTTATCAATTATAAAGCTTCAAGATTGGTGTTACATGATTCAAAGTCTTTATAAAATCTTAATCCACCAGAAGTTATAGAAAATAGGTCTACTTAATAAAGAAGCTCAAGGAGCTATAAATAAAGACTTGTTTTTAGCTTAGAGCAGGGTTTCTTAACCTGTGGTCCATGGATGCCTCAAGGGTCCATGGCATGTACTCAGGGGTTCATGTAGCAGACACAGATTTAGAAAAAATATGGGGTGGAATTTTCATTTTTGAACACCTAAATTTTTACTTGATAGTTTTTAGCAAGACATGCCAAGACTTCACTGCCAAACAACACTTTTAAGTTATTGTTTTTTTATTACACAAAAGAAGGTGAATATTGTTTTACATGATAATTTTCATCCCCTTATAACATATATTTATTTAAAATATAGCTTTCATTATTTATTTTATTAGTTTTTCAGTAATTGAGGTGTACTTTTGTTAAAAAAAAAAAGCTTTTTTCTATTTTAAAGTTTTTAAAAATGTCAAAAAAAAAGAAAATATAAAGATCAACAATGTTTTTTGGGCCAAAAAAGCCACACACTAGATTTGAGATTTTCCAAAAAGATTTGAGAAAACCAGAACTTTATCCAAACTACGTTTTACTTTAACACAAAAACCATGTTTAAAAAAAGCCACACACTAATGCAGAAACTCTTCTAAAGCCTTGTTTACTAGACATAGTAGAACTCGTGTATGGTAGAGATCAAAGAAAGAAAGTTGAAGCGGTGTCTTTGTCAAATGATGTCATTCATTATAGAGTTGTTGAAATGTCTTCCAATGTTATGCAACAGGTAATTAATGAATTTTACTCTTTGCCATTTCTATTCAGCATGCAACTGGACAAGAGCATAGATGTATTGCAGTGTAGCCATCTCATGGTTTGTGTACATTATGTACATATAGAAACACAAAGTATGAAAGAAGAGTTTCTGTTCTGCAAATTACTCCTGGTAACAACAAAAGCTTGGGATTATTTTAGTATAATAAAAAGTTTTTTTGCAAAACACAATGTCAATTAGAAAAAATAAGCTTGGAAGTTTGTGTACAAATGGACCACCTACAAAGCTTGAAAACACTTCTGGTTTTGCAGCATTGGTCAAGAAAGAGATTCTTAATGTCACAATAACTCATTGCTTCTTACACCGACATGCATTGGCATCACAAACTTTGCTTACTTTTTTGAAAGGAGTTTTGGCGACATGTATCAAAATAATTAACTTCATAAGAGCCAGAGGTTTGAATCACCGGCTGTTTAAGAAACTTTTTCAAGAAATGTGATCTGACCACGAAGTACTGCTGTATTATATAGAGGTTTGCTGGTTATCAAGAGGACAAGTTTTGAAATGCTTATTTGAGTTTTGCATAGGAGTCTCGATATTTCTGAAAGATCAAGATCAAGTGCATTGTATCAAATTCTGGAGAATATTGTTGGAAGAATTGCTAATACAATGTGAAATGCATTAAGAAGTTTATATGAAGAAATACAAAAGGAAGTCGCAGAACATTAAAAGGCTACAGAATTTGTTTGAAGGGTACTTTTGCGTTGAAAACCTTGATCAGGAGACTTGGGTGTGTAGCCTATTTATGATTGATATCAATGATGAAGATCTTATTAAAGATGATTTAATAGACATTAGATCCAATGCAGTATTGCAAGCTGATTTTCATGCAAATGATGTTTGTGATTTTTGGTGTAGTTTAAAACAACTTACCCTCTTCTTGCTAAACAAGCAATGTCCATAATAATTCCGTTTGCTACTACATACCTTTTTGAGTCAGGGTTCTCTGCATTAATGTCAGTAAAAGTTGAAAATCGTAACCAAAGACGATATGCATCTTGCATTGTCTAAGACAATTCCTCAATTTAGTGTGCTTATTGAAAAGAAACAGCAGCAACCATCTCATTAAACAACAGATATGCAATAAATTTTCTTACTAATAAATAAAGGTGTTTGTTATGATGTTTTTTTTCTTTACTAATACATTTACAATAAAGCTTGGAAGGGGTTTGTAAGATTGCTAAAATTTTGAAAGTGGTCCATGGCTACAAAAGGTTGAGAACCACTACCTTAGAGTTACTTACTTTTATATGGATCTTTAAGTTTCCAGCAATAAATATGAGTTTAATGTTTAACTTTATGGTTTATATAATTAAATTTAATTATTTCTTTACACTAAAAACCCTGGTTTTGTGTTCTAGTGACCCTATGTTTACTAGGGTCTCTATTATACTATATCAATAAGAGGAATTATATACAGGTTTTGAAAACAAAAGTTTCTTGAATTAATATCTTTTTTTCATGTATGGAAAACTATCATTTTTTATGGATTTTAAATGATTTTTAAACTTAAAAAAATAATCGTTATTTCAAACACAATTTCATACAAACTATACTTGTAAAAGTAGTTGTTACTTTGTTAAAAAAGAAAGGGACAATTCTATGGGGGTTAAGATGTAGTATAAAAGCTTCCCCCCCCTCTCCCCTTTCTTCTTCCTTGTTGCATTCCTAGAATCACAATCAAAAAGCATTAAAATTTGATAACAAATGTAAATTAAGTTTTTATCAATTGTTGTTATAAAAACTTCACACCTGTTTATAAAAACTTCACACCTGTTTTTAAACAATATGCAATTTAAAAGAAATTTTCTAAACATGACTTTTGTTTTAGGAAATGTGTTGCAGAATACTATAAATATCCTGGTAAATTTGAGTTCATTGATATGTTTGTTAAATATTCTGCAAAGAACATAAAACCAAATACAGAATTTGTTGTTATTGTTTTGAATGACAACAAATTTAATAAATACTCTGAATTTTTAACAAAAGAAAATGAAATGAATAGAAAGGTTGTCCTTAAAGATTATGAAAAATTAAAAAATAAATCATGGATAACTGAAATCAGATGGGTCTTTGTTCCACGTAAGTACTTATTTCTTTGTAATTTTTTTAAAGTAACTTTAGATTAACTTTAAACTGAACATTTTTATTCTTTATTTTTCTTGTTATGGCTTAGTTTTTCAATGTATCTTTTATTACATTTTTTAGCAAAATGTAAAGTGACTTTGTATCCTTACAGCAAGGGTTAGTGTTTATATTGGTTTCATTTTTTATTCTATTTATTTCATTATTAGTGATAATTATTGTTTCGTTTAACAGCCAATTGTTTACATTAAATTTTTTTTATTTTGAATCCAAGTTTAACACATTCATATTTATACTTTATTTTTATTGTAGTTTTTGTTTTATCTTTTATTTTATTATATTTTGTAGAAATTAAAAGTTATAAAATGACATCTGATAGAATAGGTTAGTTTTTTATTGGTTTTGTTCATTATTTTATTTATTACTTTATTTGTGTCATTATTATTCAATTACTTGTTATTTTATATAATGACCTATTTGTTCCATTACAAATTTTTCTAGTTAGTTGATTACTTGAAAGTAATTTAACCTGTTAGTAAACTTTAATAAATAAAAATTATATTTTTATTTATAGTTTCAAAATTTCATAGTTTTAAATTTCTACACAGTTTTTTGCTTATTTTGTTTTTAGTTTTTTTTTATAATATCTATGTATGTATGCATTTTTTCATTTGTAAGATATTTTATTTTGTTAGAAATTTTATTGCTCATAAATTTATTTAGATTTTTGAATTTTATCAAGTTCTTTAATGACACTCTTTAAATATAGACTTCATACAGATATAATGAAAATTCTTTTTGTAGCCTAATATACAAATTAAATAGGTGTTTCCAAAAATACAACCTCAATGTGAAAATATTTTTATTTATTATCTTACTGTGTTGTAAAAAAATTAAGTTTATTAATTGACTTAATGCTTTTATTAAATATTTTGTTATGTTTTTGAAATTCTTTATAAAATATTAATGAAATTATTGTATTAAACCTTTTTTCAATATAATTATTTTCAACAATGTAATAAAATTCAATAAAATAAATGCATAAGATAACTTCAAAATTTGAGTATTAAAGAAAACCTTTTCATACAAGTCTCTTGTATGCTTTGATAGCACACACCAATATTCAAGGTTTATACTGAGGGTTGCAGTATAAACCAATTAGATTATTAGCACTATCAAAAGAAAAAAAGTATATTTTTGCTAATAAATTATTTGTTTATTAAAATATATATATATTTTTTTAATATTAATTGATACACTTGTTTAGAAATTATGGGTCCGACATTTATCAAAGTACCTAAAGTAAAATATGAAAAATTATCTATCGAAAGAAGTAATGACCTTTCTGGAGAATACTTTCGTATTTGTCAAAAGAATAAAATGGTATTCAATAAAAGTTTTTTTTTATTTATGCAATTGTTAAAACATTTTGTTTTAAGAAAGACAAAAAAAAAAACTAGTTTTTTTTTTATAACCTTCTTGTAGTTCTTATAACCTTCTTGTAGTTCTTATAACCTTCTTGTTGTTTTTTAACCTTTTTGTAGTTCTTATAACCTTCTTGTAGTTCTTATAACATTCTTGTAGTTCTTATAACCTTTTTGTAGTTCTTATAACCTTCTTGTAGTTCTTATAACCTTTTTGTAGTTCTTATGACCTTCTCGAAGTTGAGTTGTACTTAAAGATATCATTAACTTAAAGAGAGCAATTATTATATATGTTGTGTTTTAGATTAATATATTCTTGCTACAACTAAATGAAAGATGTAAATAAATTTCTTTATTATTTGATGTAAATAAATTTCTTTATCTGTGTGTCAACATATTGGGTTCTGTATACATTGTTTTCGATAAATGTACAAACTTTAATGCATACAGAAAAGTATTAAATAAACCTTGTTATTAGTCAATTAAAAAACGATCTTAGCAAAGTTGAAAATATTTTAATTTTATTAGAATTAATAGTTGTTTTAGTAACTACTAAAAAAAAGTAGAAAAAGTATGTTATATTATTAAATTTATCAAAGTATTGTAGGGTAATCTGAGACAAATTGAAACACTCATTGAGAATGTTCATCACTTAAGAAAAATTTTGTTTTACAAGAAAAAATTTAAAAAGGTAAATGTTTAGATCCCTAAATACATAAGAGGAAAGGTGTGATTGCTTGGGTTTGCTTTTAAATAAATAAATGCATTTTGGATCAATTTTTTATCATAAAATTTTTAAAGAAATGATAGTTCCTCATGCTGATAAAAATATGGCTCTTCTATAAATATTACAACAGGAAAATAACCTGAAACACATGACTTGCAACAAAACAAGTTGAAGTAATGAAGTGGCCAACTAGATCGCTTGATCTCAATCTTCTAAACTTTTTCTAAACTACAAAGAACTCTTCAAAAACTCTAATAATCTATATAAAGCTAATAAAGCCATTTGGAATAAGATTGCATAAGTTAAAATTGATAAACTCAATAAGTTTCTAATTTTTAAAAATGTTTTATTATGTTTAAAAGATGTACCACAGTTCTAAAAAGTATAGTAAGCCATCCCTGTGAGTGCGTGCTGTTGCACGCCTTGTTTGTCCGCTTTTAAAGTAATATTTTTAGACACACTGACCACAGTAGTTCCATCCTTTAACTTTCTAAGCGTTTCCACAATTTGCAGCAAAAAGCTAAATATCTATTGAGAAAAAAAGTTGTAAAAAAGGAAAAAAATTGTAGCAAAATATAGATTTTCTACTAAAAATTGTAGAAAAATAAGAAAATAAATTTATTTGTTTTGTATTTATTTGTAAAAACTATTACTTAATAAACTTTGTAATGGCGGAAAAAATTCAATAAAAGGATTGCATGGTCTCTTTTGTAAATGTATTTACCATATTTGTCTGAAATTGCTTTCTTTATTTTATTTTAACCCAATTTCCAATATTAATACTTATTTTTAACAATTAAATAGAAATTAGTTTTCTTCATTAAAATTAATTCGATAAAAACAGTAAAGTTTAACAAAAACGTTTGAAAAATGTCCAAAAAAATTGTCCATATTTCTATTTATAAAAAAGTTGTGAATGTTTTGGAAGACTTTTTTATATTAAATTTTTATATTAAAATTAAGATTTTTATATTAAAATATCAATAATTGCCAAATAACCCGTTTAATCATGTTTAGTTAGTTGCGTTAATAAAATTCATGTTAAGTCATTAAGTCATAAATCCTTAAAGTTAATAATTTGGTTCTTCTGATTAATAAGTACAGTTGAACTCTTGTAAATCAAATTTAAAATTTTAGATTGAAATTATATATTTGAAAACTCATATAAATCAAACAAATTTTAAAACCCCTTGAGGATAAGAATTGCATGAGTTCGAATGTATTATTTTTAGAAAAAATACTGTGTTCAATAAATGTATTTGAAAATATATAATTTTTTATTTGGATGGTGATATTTTAAAAGGCAGTGTAAATACCATTTTTAATTTTATGCTTTAGTTAAATTAAGATTGCATTTACTTTGTTTGCACTTTGAAATTAACAAGTTAGTGTATATTATATATAATAAGTTTGTAGTATAAATTCTTTTATTATATATTTATTATGTTTTATAATTTTTTTTCCAATGCCTTTATTAATATCTCTTCTCTGTTTGTTTGTGACCATTAAATCTTACAATCAATTTTTGAGTCACTTCCTTATCATAGATTTTCTTCAAATTTTGGATACATACTCTTGCTTGATGACAATACAATATTCAATAATTAGTTTTGGAATAAGTCAATTAATTTAGTTGATTTTAATTAAGTTTATTTTTTATATGGAAAGAAGAAGAATTTTTAAAATAAGTATATTAACTTTTGTAAATGGAATTTCTGTGGTTCAAGACCCGCCTTATCTTGGTGTATTTTTTTACACATGCATACAGCCGAATGTTAATAAAATCAAATAATATCAGAAAAAATTTATTGCAAATTTTGTGTTTTAATAACATATAAAGAATTGTGTTTTAATAATTTTGTTTTTAATTTTACTTGTTTACTTTATTATTTTTATTTTTAGAAAGGAGCTTGCTTTCAAATTGAAACAAAAGGTTTTTTTTTTTTTTTTTTTTTTTTTTTTGTTAGACAAAATTTGTAATATTTAAATTATAGATAAAATCTATAATATTAATGTTATTTTATTTTCTTGTTACTAAATTTTCTACTACAAATTCAAAGTTATAGATTATGTATTGCATCTAAAATGAACTTTTAACACGCTAAGACAGTTTAAAGTAAAATATGATGATACGAATATGTAAATTGTTGCTAGAGGGTGTCTTGGACTATCTGTAAAGGAGTTGAGTTCTTAGGTAAACATAAAATTATAGTACATAAAAATATAAAATATAAAATAACCACTGTTAACTTAACTGTTTCAATCTTCCACAAATATTCAAGATCTTTAAAGTAACTTTTTATCTGTTGAATTTTTTCAAAGTTTTTTCAAAGTTCACGAGGCTTTACTACTTTTATGAGATTAATTTGAATTTCAGTGTTAATGGCTTAAATGCTTTGATTTGTAAAGACTCCAATAGTCACATGCGTGTTCCTATCATTACGCTTCTTATTGTTATCAAGTTTGACTGAGATTCTGTTTGTGATTTCCTTTGTGATAAACCAGAGAGGAAAATATTTTGTCTCTTTGCTGATAATTGCGCCTCCCTTGTAATTTTCTGGATTTAAGAAGGCATGGGTGTGTTTATTTTTTCTTGTCGGTTTAAAGTCAAACCTCACTCTATCTGTGGTTTTCCTTTTCTTTTTTTTTTTTTGTGCAGCCTGTAATTCTAATAGTAGTATTTTTTTTTCACAAGATCAACTTCCTTAAAAGCAAATATTTTATCATTGCAAGAAACCAATGCAAAAAGGTGCTGTCGGACACTATGTTCTCATTTTTCCAGATTATGAAATCTCATATTTTATCTGAGAAATTAGGTTATGGAGAGTTTTGGAAAATTTTTAACAGTGTAATTAACAAGTTAAAACTTATAATATGAATCATCTCTAATTCAAGGCTCTAATTTTATTCTATTATATATATTTTTTCCCAAAGATAATGCAGAACTATTTGCAATAATTTTTCCTCTAATTTATCTCTTAAATTTAATGACTTCACTTATTGTCACCCCAGAGAAACAAGTTAATCAATTGTTGAACATCCAAATCACTCCTGTTGCTATTGCTAAAATTGATTTTTACTTTAACTCTTCTTTAACTTATATTACTGAAAATACTGGTGTCATGTTTAGGTTGTTTTGTTTTTTTTTAACATATTTTTAAAACATGTGCAGAGTATTGCTACATCAACTATCTGAAAGTCTGCTGCTACAAGGGAGTGCTGCTACATCAATTATCTTAGAGCCTGTGGCCACAAGAAAGTACCTCTAAATTGACTGAGGGTTTGGTTTGGGCAAGCAATCTATCAATTTTATTATACATATGTGTGTATATATATATACATACATTATACATGTGTGTATATATGTCAGGCCTTGTTAAGAAGCGTTACGCAGCTCGCATTTTGCCTACGAAAAGGCGATTTGCCTACGCGTTCAGCAGTTATGCGTTACGCAAAAACTTTCATCTTTAAGAATATTTAAATTATCTTTTTATATCGTTTATGTGACGTTCATTCAGAAGTATTAAAGTCGTAAGTAAAAGCATTTAACCGCAATTGTAAACTAATAGATTTTTTGTTAAAGAAACAATTTGTTTAATAATTTTTTTTTGTTTTTAAAAATTACTTAAAGAAAATAAAGTGTTTTAAGTTTAAACTTTTTATCATATTTAATTTTAAATATTAGATTTCATAAGTTTATAAACAATCAAATTTAAAAAAAGAAATATTTTCAATTTATTTTATTAAATTTAAATATTTTTTTAATAATTATAGTTTTTAGTAAATAAATTTATTAAATTTAATTAAAATTCTTTCATTTAATTTTAAAACAGCATTTTAAAATTTTTTAATTTTAAAATGCTCCGTTTTTTTTATAAAATTACCAAAGTAAAAAAAGATTTGATAAATTTAATTCAAGTTACTTTAAAATGTTCGTATTACATATAACTTTATTTTAATTTTAGTTAAGTTTCAGGTAAGCTCCAAATACTGGTCTGAAAGATGCGCTTACAAAAGCGCATTATTTTCCAGTTTTTATTTTTCCATTATTTTACAGTTTCATTCATTATTTCCAGAAGCGTATTATTCATTTTATAACTACAAGTTAATAAATGACGTCAATACTTTTAAACTCGAGTTATAAATGTTTGTTTGGGTTTTCCCTTTGCCGTTTGCCAAAGAATTTTTCTTTATAAAACAAACTAAGGACGTATTAACAATACGTCCTTGAACAAACTAAAATACAAACCTATTAAAAATAACGTGATCAGTAAATAAACTTTTTAAAAACCCAACTTATCTTTATTTTGTTTTAAAAACAAAACTAGTACTTGAGCTATAAATATAAGATACATAAGTTTTAAAATTATAATGATATTTGTTAAAAACAAATTCTGCTTATAACATCTGAAAACTGAAAACACTAATTTTTTTTTGGATTGAGAAAAAAAATATTAGGTTTCACTGTACATAAAAATAAAATAGTTTAATGGAAATAAAAAAAAACAAAGCCGAAAAAGCAGTAAATTTCGTTTCTTTACAACATTTATTTTATCAAAACAAACGTTTTTTTTTAAAAGGGAAAACCCAATCTATGCGTTTAGTTATAAGTACATTTAAATCCCTTTAAGAAAATCAACCATAAACAAGTGTTAAATTTAAATTATTTAAAAAAAAAATAAAAAAAAAACAACCTTAAAACGAATGTTTATAAGCAAAAAAATTAAGTTTAAATAAGTATAAGATTTTAATACAAGAAGACTTTTTTTTAACCAACACTGAAATTTTTTTTTTTATAACAACATTGTACAATTTAAAGCTATTTCGTTTCAAAGACTAACAATAGTTTTTAATGTCATTTTAAATTTAATTACAATTAAGTAAAAACGCAACTGACGTAAATTAACTTTTAACAATGTAAATATCTTTATTGAGTAAAGTTACATTTATTCACGTTCAGCTTTTCCGTTACGCAGCGAAATCTCGTAACAAGGCCTGATATGTGTATATATATATATATATATATATATATATATATATATATATATATATATATTATATATATATATATATATATATATATATATATATATATATATATACATACATACATACATATATGTATATATATATATATATATATATTTATATATATATATATATATATATATATATATATATATATATATATATATATATATATATATATATATATATATATATATGATTCGCAACATTGAATTAATAAAAATATTCAGCTACTCAAGCTAATACTTGTCTATTGTTTTAATACTAGAGGTTTTTATTATGAATAATCTGATTTGAAGAGATATCCACTTTTCTGCTTTATCCCTTCAAATTGTCTCAGAAACGGGGTTTATCTGAATCCAAAACAAACTAAATAACAAAAATATTTATACATCTTGCCACGTGGGCATAAAAAAATATTTTTCTTTGTTTTAGCATTTCATAGAGTTCATTTGTTTTAATTTTCACTGTTTTGACTATGAGTTCAAGAATTTTATTTAAGCCAGAGATCAATCTCATGTTAAGAAATCGAAGCAGTGCAGCATATATATTTTTTAAAGTAATTAAGCATTTGTTTTAGCATTTCATAGGTGCATTTTATTTTTTTATTACCAAAAAATAATTTAATTATTTTAATATATTGCAAAAAATGCACTTCATACAAATATATAAAACAGTTATTGAAAAAATAAAAGTATATAAATAAATATTCAAGAAATGTATATAGAATATCTGCAATGCAATTTTAATGTAAAAAATTTCTTTCTCTTACAGAGATAAAATGAACATTTTGAACACATTTAAAACTAATTCAATATTTTCGAAACTTTTATTTAGCACTCACATATTATTTACTAAATTAATTATAAGTTAATTAAAAATATATATAAACAATATTCTAAAATTTTAAAAAATATATTCTTAAGAACATATCTGTAAAGAGGTCTATTTGCAACATAAGTTTATTTGGCGTTAAGGTTTCAAAAGTTTCCATTTATTTTCAGCATTTATTTTTGGCCTTTTGCGTCCTAATATGCTGTGCAAAAAACAGAGTATAATCCTGATATGTCTACCAGAGCATTCTTCACATATTCTACAACCATTGGATAAAGGTGTCTATTGCCATGTCAAACAAGCGTGGAAAGAAATTATTACCAAGTTTTACAAAGACTCAAAATGTAACCGTTTAGATAAACTAAAATTATTTAGTACAATGGGCACCTAATAAAAACAACATAAACCATAAGACATTAGCAGTCATACAAATGTTTAATCCGTCGTCATCTTTAACAATCTTTACAGCACCAATACCATCTTGTTGAGTCACAGCAATTTCATTGGTAAAGCTGTGACTTTGAATTCAAAAAATTTTTTCAAGCCAGAGATCAATCTCATGTTAAGAAATCGAAGCAGTGCAACATGTCAAAACTTGGCAAAAGCTGCGTTACCAAAGATAATACATATAAATACTGAAGGTAATACATAAGAATGTGATCATGTTCCTTAAACAGAAAGAAGATAAAAAGCTACAGAGAAACGTAGTTGATCTAAGCAAAATAATCTAGCAAACATGTGAATATTTATTTATGCAACTTTTTTAGAATCATCTTGTTATTATAATTATCTCCACATTCTTGAGTTTAACGATAAACGATTTAAAAATAAGAACTTTTGGAGATGGCGTATGAAAACATTTTCAAAACATGAGTTTTTTCTTCAACTTTTTTACTTATAACTTTAATTTCAATACGATAAAAAAACATTATTCTGAGGTAACACTATTAATAACTCAATTTTTCAAAAAGCGGAGATCGAACAAAACTGTTCTAACATTGCAATATGCAAGTTTTTTAAGTTACATTTGTTCATGTATTGGAAATACAGCGACAACCCGCAATAAAACATAACTTTAAACAATTTTACTTTTAACTAACTCAGCTTGATTCTTAAAGATCTATTTTTTTTGTTTCTATCTAAAGATTGATTTTATCACTTGGCAGACACAGCTTTTATTCAAAACATTTTTGCTTGAAATAAGCCAGCTTATTTAACAATATATTTCTCATATAATGCTCAGGTTTAACCTCGATTTTTAATTTTAGTGCAACTATAATTATATAATCAGTGACCAGACCCTTAAAAATACAGGTTTTCATAATTCTATTCCACACTGACCTTTTCTATACTTTTTCCTTGTATATATCCTAACTGTCAGACTTATTTATTCCTCACCAATCATTTTTATACTTATTTCTTATTTACTTTATTATTTTTTATTTTTTATAACTTGGATTAATCATTTAAAAAAAACAATTCATTAAAAAAAACTGCTGTTAAAGGAAAAAAAGTTATTTTATGCACCTTTTCCACATAAATAGAGCTTATAAGAGATTTATAAAATGTTTTTTTTTTTTTTTTTCTCATACAGGCATAATTTCATAGCTCAGTGGTTTTGTGTCCTAAGTAATCCAAGGTTTCAAATTTGCCCATCAAAATAACACATTTTAAAATTTTTTAAATCTGACCGTATATATTTATAGAAAGAAGAAAAAAGTAAGGTTTGAAGTTTTTGAAAGTTAGGCCTTTTTTTTTTTTTTTTTTTTGCCTCCACAGCACCACCTTCTGGAGTAGCAGGAAAGGGTTTATGATTTTTTTTCTTAGTTAAATTTTAGAGCTAATTAGGATTAATTACCTAAGCACATTTAATAACATAAGTATCTCTATCATGACTTAAGCGCAATAAATTTCTTTAGGTGTTTTTTAATGTTTTTATAAATTGTTTTGTCATTGTTGAACACAGTTTTTGATAATCTTTAGTCTACTGACATTTCTCTCGTCATAAGCAAGTGTAAAATTAAAGGTCATGTCATATTTCTAGACTATAGACAAGTAAGGAAAACATGATTTTGTCTATTTCTCTATTAAGTTTTATTTGTGATTCAGTCATCTTTTTTGGAGAAATTTAAACTTTGAAAGTAGGGTCAGGGCGAAAAGGTTTCAAATAGAGAGCAGGTACCATATGAATTTTTGCCAAATACATTTTTATCACATAAAAGCAAATCTAAATAACTCTACAATACTGAAACCGGTTAATATATAACTTTCTATTTTTCTCCTTTAAAAAAGTTGTTTTCCATTTGCAAAGTCATTGTAGTTTTAGGAGTCTCTGTCACTGTACAGTCAAAGCAGTTTTAATACACTGAACTATGTTAAATATCCATTGACATTGTACATTATGATTTTAAGAGATGGTTTCTTAAAACAAAATGTCTCAATTTTATTTTCTGACTTTAATGGCGGCAAATTTGTAAAGCACATATGTAAACAATGGTTTGTTATTGCCTAGTTTTCTATTCCAGTTAAATTAAACATGGAGTTTTGTAATAAGAAACATATATTTTGAGGGGCGCATATTGACTTGTTAAAGAGGGCAGGGAGGCAGCTTGCCCCAATGCCCTATGCTGAATCTGCCACTGATACATTAATAACATAAGTATCCCTATCATTACATATGCGCAACAAATTTTTCCCTTTGTTTTGTTGTTTTTAGAAATTAAAAACTTTTTTAAATATTCTGTCCCCTTTCCTTTGTATAGTTTATAATAATTTTATATATGTTATGTATATAATATTTATAGAACTTCAAAAATGTTTTATTTTTTATTTTTAAAAATTTTTTAAATTTAAAAAAAAGAATACTACCCGCTTATTTTGTCTTGAATTCTATAAGTTTATGTGTAGTTCAAGTTCTTAAATGTTAATATTTAATTCAAAGTAAAAATACAATGAAGAGAATGCAAGCAATGCAACATAAAAACAATCATAAAAAATTCTAAGAAACATAAGAATCAAAAAAATTAGGAAGATCTATGAAAAAGAAAAACTTGAAAGTATTGAAGTCAAATTACAAAATATATTCAGTTGTTTTAAAGATTTAAAAGCAAGCTCTAATAAATTTTTCGGGATTTGATTAAACCAAGTTATAAACGGTTAAATAAACTTATCCTATTTATAAACATTTCTGGGCAGAGAGTTTGTTTTTAAATCTTCTAAAGGATATCCAACCAAGCATATTTTGATTGTTAAAAGATTTCAGACTTTGTATAGTATTAATTTGGTTAATACTATATTCTAAATAGGTCTAAAATTATTATTTAAAGTTTTTAATCTATTTAAAGTTTTATTTTAATTTCCGTTTATTTTAATTTCCGTTTATATTTTTATCAGTGACTGAAATAATTATTGATTGATTTTTATGAGAGAAACAAATTTTTTGTTAATAACAGGTAAAAAATAATTAAAGGGGTGGGGGTGGGTGTGTCTTAATAAGCTTATTATGGGTGGGAAAATTTTCCACAGTTTAATAAACTTCCCCCATCCCCTCCCTTGTATTAAGGACTTAAGATATATATATATATATATATATATATATATATATATATATATATATATATATATATATATATATATATATATATACATATATATATATATATATATATATATATATATATATATATATAATTGACTTTTTGATGAGATTAAATAAAAAATAACTACATAACTTTTACTACTAAAAGTTTCATGCGTTTAGCAATCATGAGGTAAAAATACATTGTTTTTTTCGTTAAAAAATATACTTTTAATAAACATCATGGCGTTCAAAAACAATTATAAAATGTTACTATTTGCTGGCATGGTTGGGTTTTTTAATCTTTAAGCTCATGGTTGAAAAGCAAGAACTTGTTTTCATGACAGCACTTAGATATTATTTCTGTTTTTTTATTTAATAATTTCTGTGTACCTTTGTATGATATTATGCAAAGTTTTTCATGAAGGCAAAGCAAGCATTTTTTTGTTACGTTGCTATATTTAATTTGAGTGTTATTTTTAAGTTTTCTTTTATCTGCCATATATTCTTTGAAAGGGTAGTTGAATTTTTCATCTTTTTGTTTGTGAACGAGTGTTTGTGGTTAGCCTATCTTTTTTTCCATTCACCTTCTGCTAGGCCAGTATGTACTTTTTCTGGAGTGTTAGGGGGGGTGGGGGTGGGGTGGATACTATACATTTATAAATAACGCTTGAGGCTCTACATTTTCCTATTATAGGGCAGTTTTTTTTGTTTATGCAATTGCAGGGTGGGTATTCTTTTGGTCTTTTTGAACTGATTTTCCTGTTGTGGCTTTTTATAATTCTTTTGATATTTTTGGTGTAACTCACTTTGATGGTGTTTCGAATGAATAGTTTACTTAGGGGGTGGGATGTTGGAAAATGTTATATATATATATGTATATATATATATATATATATATATATATATATATATATATATATATATATATATATATATATATATATATATATATATATATATTATATATATATATATAAAAATATATATAAAAATATATATATTTATATATATACATTTACGTATATGTAAACTTCAAAGCTGTGTTTCTACAATATTGATTTCTATTTTTTACAATTTTTTTAGACTTAAAGTCGAAGCAATCTATACCTATGTTGTTTCCAGCTCAATCTATATACATTCCTAGTGGTTGGAAAGTGGATATTCATACATCAAAAAGTTTATTTACAAATGAAAGTATATCTGAGTTATATTATATTTAAAAAGTAAATATATAGTATGTATGTATGTATATCTATATATATATATGTGTATATATAAATATATACATATATATTTTATATATATATATATATATATATATATATATATGTATATATGTATATGTATATATATATATATGTATATGTATATATATATATATCTATCTATATATATATATATATATATATATATATATATATATATATATATATATATATATATATAATATATATATATATATATATATATATATATATATATATATATATATATATATATATATATATACATATACTGTGTTTCATTAAAATTTAGAACCGCTTACATTTTTTTTCAATACTCGACAGAAAAACTTGAATAGAAATTAAGCGGATTAAGATTTTTCAATTATTTTCTCTAAATCGAGTAGATTAATTAATTGTTTATCAGATATGATTTTAATTGAAATAAAAATTGTTAATTGGATTTAAATTAAGACTAAGTAATTAGAGGTAATTTTCTAAGCTGATATAAATTATCTATTTATATCAGCACATGGCTTTGAAATCACATATCATAAAAAGTTGTTAATTTTTGAATTTGAAATTTTGTTTATTTGTTCACTACTATATAAAGGATATGTTACAAAAAAAATTTCTAAAAAATTCAAATTAGAAATAAAGTTAAGATAGTTGGTACTTCCAGGCATTTTTGGTAAAAAAAATGGGTAAAAAAGCAGTAGATGATGCAACTAGATGGCAGATTATTGCATTAAAACAAAATACAGATAAATCTGACACACAAATAGCAAAAGAGTTGGGTGTTTCACGAAAACGCGTCTCAACAACGATAAAAAACTACAAATTGAGAAACAGTGTCAAAGATATGCGGCGCTCTGGAAGACCAGAAAAGCTTAGTACCCGAGACAAAAACGCCTTCATACGGAAGGTTAATGCCGAACCTAAAATCACTCTCCGAGAATTAGCCGAGGATTTCAATAGCTCGTTCAGAAATCATAGTGTTAGCTATTTTATTAGGAAGCCACTTTTGACAGTACGAGACCGGTTGAGACGACTGAAATGATGCCGAAAACATGCCAGTTGGTCAGTAGAAGATTGGGCGAAAAGTATTTTCAGTGATGAATCCAATTTTGAGGTCATAAATTGTAAAGGATGAGTTTATGTCAAAAGAAAGAAATGGCAGAAGTATGACATGCGCATAGTATCACCAAGAATACAAGGTGGATGAAGGTCAGCAGGAGTCTGGGGTTGCATCTCTCATAAAGGTATTGGTCTCTGCAATACGTACACCGGTCGGATCAATACAAAACAACTCTGGAGCAGCATTTAATTCCATCAGCCCGTGAATTTTTGGAAATGGATTTTTCAGTAAGATGGGGCTCCTGCACACACTGCCAAGTCAATAAAAACCTGATTTTCAGAGAAGAAGATCCAAGTGATGCCTTGGCCCGCCCAATTGCCTGATTTGAATCTGATTGAGAATCTTTGGGCTTGGATGGACCCCCAACTAATGCGCACCAAGCTGACGTTGGTTGAGCACTTAAAGCAAGCAATAGAAGAGATATGGAAGAGTATTCCAAAAGAGTTCTGCATGAAATTGATTGAATCTATGCCTAGGAGAGTTCTTTCATGTATAAAAGCCCGCGGTGGTCATTTTAAATATTGGAATTTGAATTTTTTTAAAATGTGCTATATCTAACTGATTTTTTTTGCTACCCTTATTTTTTATGTCTACTTTTTTTCTTTCATTTTTTTTTTTATTTTTTATATTTTTTTGCGATTTTTTTTTCCTTAAACTATAAAACATACCTTATTTAATAAAAAAAAAAGAAATAATTGAAAAATCTTAATCTGTTTAATTTTTATTCAAGTTTTTCTGTTGAGTATTGAAAAAAAATGTAAGTGGTTCTAAATTTTATATATATATATATATATATATATATATATATATATATATATATATATATATATATATATATATATATATATATATATATATATATATATATATATATATATATATATATATATATAATATATATATATATATATATATATATATTAAAAATTTAAAAATATAAAAATATTCATACATACTCATCCCTATCATTTCTTTGAAATGCATTTAATCCAAAATTTGCAATAAATAAGTAAACACAAAACTAATAATAGAAAACTATTATTAGTTTTGTGTTCACTTATTTATTGCAAAAAAGACATGTGTATATATGCATTCTTTCAGCAATATTTTTTCAACGAATTTTATGATTACACTAAGTCAAACAGATTTAAGCTGTGTTTTGTCATGACAGTAAACTACTCTACTGGCAAGGACAACATTCTTGCTCTCAGCTATGCTTAGTCACATAGCAAAGTACACCACTTGGCTAGCAAAGTCAAGATTCTTGCTGTAAACTAAGCCAAGTCACAATAATTTGAAACCATACTTGCAAACTGTAAACACCTAACATTATAACAGTTCACAGACATAGAAACACTTTATATATAAAATAAATTTAAGCACTTAACTTACAAAATATAGACCCATATAACCTTAACACATATAAACATGTAATAAATATTACATAAATATAATTAAATATAAAAGTTAAGAAAAATATATAAATTAGAAACATTTTCAAATACAACGTAATATTTTTTACAACGTAATATTTTTTTGATAACATACCTTGTATTAAATGTTTAACAACTTTAAAAAAACAAACGATCAAACAACCTGGTTTTTTAAATTATAAAAGCAAACAGATTTTCTTTAAATTCATTAAAATAAGGTATTCAACGATCTTGTTCTTGATTATGCCACATAGAGTTGACCATGTGAGATGTAAGGGTTTTAGAGAAAAACACCAATTTTATCAAGAGTTTGACCTTTTGATCTTTGAAAAGAGCATCTTTTTCTAGAGTCATCATCTAATTTTTTAAAAATTAAAATTACAGATTAATATGCTTTAAATAGGATTGACAAAGAACTTGAATTGTGTTATTATCTAAATCCATAAATTAAATAAATTACCTGGTTTTAAAAGTTACTATACTAATTTAAAAATAACATAAGGTTAATCTCCTTATTTAATATCTATTACAGAAGTATTTACAGAAATCATCAAATTAAAAATTATAGAAGTCATCAAATTAAAAGGTTTTCGATCTTATTACTGATAAAGCAGATATTAACAGATGAAGATTTATGAAGATTTAAGAATACCTCATCATGTGGTCAAAAAAACAAAGAGAAATATTTATAGACCAAGCTTGCTAAATCTTATTTATAAAACTCCATGTAAATGCACACAAATGAGTAACAGCAGCAGCAATAAATTAAGTAATAAAATATAGTGATTATATTATATTTTATATGTATATATATATATATATATATATATATATATATATATATATATATATATATATATATATATATATATATATATATATATCAACTCTTGGAAACAGAAAAATAAGGTTGCCAATAATTTGCCGAACTTAATCTTTTAGAGGTCAGCGTTAGGTCAGCAAAAAAAATTTGATACAAAGGTCTTAACATTAAACATAGAAATGAAGCATTTTTTGTCGACCTTGAATGTAATGAGTAATAAAGAATCTTCCAGCATTAAAATCCAACTAGCAATTTTATTAGCCCTGATACCATTGATAAAACTGAATATAATAAGTGATAACTAAAAATCTGGACAAAGTTTTATTAATTATAAAAATTTGAAAGATTAATTTATTAAACTTAGCAATTACGCCTATATAGTTATAAATTTAATTCTTTATTTATACTAAAAACAATGTATTTAGTATATTTAGTTTTATTGAAAAATAAAAAAAAGGCTGATGACAAAGATTTGCTTAGAAACCAAATGTACGCATTTTTGGATTTGCATCTAGATGAGAATAAAAGCTTTGTTTTCAATCATTTTCAAATAAAGAACATACAAAAATTTACTGCCCTGATGTTTAAAAATTTGAAAATTTTGATTGTTCAAAAGGATGGTATTTTACTGCGTTGTCTTGCAAAATGATTCAATGTATCACAACCGTAGATATTTTTTGGAAAAAATTAATTGTTTTTGTCAATGACTCATCAAACTCTACCAAATGGCTTCAATACAGCTTAACAGAAATGAATGAATGGCTCAACAACAACTTACAGTATTGACTTGATTTACAACAACATCAAAATACTCTACAATGTGCTGTATATGAATCCTCATAGTAATTTTAAACATAATAATCACGAATATGTTACTTTTTTGAAAACTTTAAGTGATCCTTGCTACTTTTAAATTAGCTCTTGAATTTAGAGCATACAGGTGTATATCAGTGGTTTTACTTCATAAATACTTTATGGATCACTCCTTAGAGAATAAAGTCACTAGGTTAGTAATAAAGTCACCAATAAAAACAATGGCAAAGGGAGAAAGAAAAGGGCTTGTCAAAAAGATTAGAAGTTACATCTAAAATATTGCAATCTTTAGAAGAGGAACAACAACAATAAAGAACAAAAAAAAAGTGATTGAGTCAAGAGGTATTGAGCAAAATCACAAAAAAAATTTTTTGACAACTATGTAATGCATATTATGCCGAACCCAGCATGTGGCTATTGGAGTCTTTGTAAATAAAAAGATAACAGCCGTCAACACTTAGAAATATTGTAGTGGTAGAGCCCTTGCTTGATAAGCAAGAAGTTCCAAATTTGATTCCCATCACATTCCTGGTAGTATCGAACTCAACTTATTTCTCAGCCCAGCAAATTTGTTTGTCAAAGTTTGTGTTTTGGAATTGTAGAATTAAAAAGGATTGTAATAATTAGTCTCCTTGAATTTATCGCCTTCTTTGCCTCAGGGAGGTAAATTAAAATTTAAAAAACACTTAGATTTGAAGAAGAAACAGATGAATTCATATTAGTCTCACAAAGAGCAAGTAAGTCTGGTGATTTTTGCAAGATAT